GAGGAGTTGGGAACCTCCAGAGGTGATAGCATCTAGGCTGACTTTTTTTTTTTCTAGAGGAAGATTAGCTCTGAGCTAACTGCTGCCAATCCTCCTCTTTTTGCTGAGGAAGACTGGCCCTGAGCTAACATCCGTGCCCGTCTTCCTCTACTTTATATGTGGGACGCCTACCACAGCATGGCTTGCCAAGCAGTGCCATGTCCGCACCTGGGATCCAAACCAGCGAAGCCCAGGCTGCCAAAGCAGAATGTGTGCACTTAACCGCTGCGCCACCAGGCCAGCCCTAGGCTGACTCTTGAAGAGCAAAGTAAAGTTGTCAGGTGAGGAATGGCAATTATGAGGTTGGGGGAGGGGAAGAAAGGCATGCTGAGAAGCAGAAACAGCATGTACAAAGGCAAGGAAGTAAGACAGAGTACGCCTCCTTCAGGGAACCAAAATGTAAGCTCCATGAAAAAAGAGACATTGTCTCAGTCACTGCTATTTCTCCAGCACTTACAACAGTGCCTGGCATGGGGTAGGTGCTCACTGTTTGTGGAATGAAGGAATGGCAAGGACTTAATCAGGTGTACGGTTTAGAGAATGGACTACATAAGGCCAAGCTCAGGAAGAAGGCTGTTGGAACACAGGAAGTGGAAATTGTTAACCAAGGTAAGGAGTGCAAATAGGGAAAAGGACAGATATGTGAGCAGTTAAGGAAAGAGTGGAGAAGGCTTGGAATCATGGACAGAGTCATTGTGGCAGATAGAAAAGGAAGGGGTCAAGGACCAGGCCCGGGTCTGGGTTCTGAGCATCTAGGTGGACAAGCAGGTGGTTCAACAAGGAGAGAAAATGAAGGAGGGAAAGTTTTAGGGAGAGATATGAGTCTGAGTGTAGATTCCATGAGTTTGAGGTTCCAGTGGGCCTTGGAAGTAGAGATATTTGGTACATAGTTTGAATATACAGTTTTGACAACTTAAGCATAAAAACAAAAGTGGATGAGCAGGACCAGAGAGAGGGTGCAGAGAGGAGAGCAGGGGAAAAAGGTAGACCCTCAGAGAGCCGGGGGAGGGAGAAGAAGCAAGAAGTTCCTAAAAACTAGCACAAGAAATGGGAATTCTGAGGGGCAACCTTAGGGAGGAGGGGATGTCAAGGCAGGAAGGAGGGCAGTAGTATAAATAACAAAAGAAGTTGACAACTCAAGTCAGAGCAGAGGTGGACAGGGTTCACTGGTGACTAGAGAGGGCCACTTCGATGAGCCTGGCTGATGGGGGTGGAGGAGAAAGTGAGGTAAGGATGGGAGTAGAGACAGTGAGTGCACACAAGAAGCTCAAATGTGAAGGGGAGGAGGCAGCATGGGAGAAGCCAGAGCAATTTTAAGATGAGAGAGACCTGAACCTATCTAAATGCTTCTCAGAGACAACCTAATTCTAATCTATAGCATCACTTCCGCTCTCCCGAGGCACGGATAAGTCAATGCCTCAGACCTGAAATTTATAGCAATTCTTTTTTTAAAAGTGCTTCTCAGAAGCAGCGAGTAGAGAGGGAGGAGATGAAGAGGATGATATTTTAATGTAGGCGGCTCAGAGCTTAATATGGCTAATAGTGAACGCACAATACCACAACATTCACCTGCAAACCTGCTTCTCTCTCATGTTTCCCATCCTAACCAACATCCTCATTATCCACTCTGCACTCTGGATGCAACCCCCAGAACATCTCTGAATTCTCAAAGTCCCCTGCAGACCTTATCAATCACTGATTTTTGTCAATCCCATCTTGTAAACATTTGACTCCATCTATTTCTTGTTTCCTATAGCCCCTGCCCCAGACTCATTATCCCCTTCTGTCTGGACCATCGATACGGTTTGGAACTAGCGTCTCTAACTCCTTCAGCTTTGAATTCTCGTGTTTTCTGCAAATACAGATCCAGCCATGTCACTTCTTCTAAAATAAATCTCTGAAGGCAGACCATCTTCTGAGAGGCAAAGTCCATCCTGTTTTGTCTGTCCTCAGGGCTGGCTCGGATCTGACCACCACTCGGCCTTGCCAGCCCTAGCTTTTGCCTCTGCTTCCCCCCGTGCATCCTTAGTGAGCCCTGTGGGGCTTAGTTTACTGGGAAGCGCTGTCACATCCTCAAGTCTTGGCTCCTGCTGGTCCCTCTTCCTGGGACTCCCCTATCCAATCAGTGAATTCTGCAGGCCTAGTTCACATGCTGCCCATTCCATGGAGACTTCCTTGACCCCCTCCTCTAGCTCAAATCACATCAGAGCATGGATCGTTCCTCTTCACATACGGTAACAGGTATCACACGCTGCATGGTCATGGACCTGTTTGCACATCAGATCCCGCCCCACAGATACACTGGAGGGCAGGGACAATGCAACCGACTCATCCTCACACCCTCCTCACAGACAGTAGACATCAGTGTATTCTTAGAGGAATCCCACTGAATAACAGATGAACTGATTGATCTCATATAACCAAAGTGATTTCCCCTACTCATTGTCACAGAACTGGATAAATCTGGTTACAATCAAGTCAACCCAAGAATCACCTTGATTAACAAGTGCTTCCCTGGCTCTACTAGTCACTCGCTGGGAGGTAAGAACTTCCTGTGTCTTCTTGACACTGTCACTCTAGCAGAGCTCCAAAGCTTAGGGCTTCTCTGCTTCACTCTATTTTATCCAGTCAATAAAACGATGTCAAACACAAGGCCCATGCCAGGCACTGGGGACACAAAGATGAATAGGACAGTCGTGCCCTCAAGGTGCTTGCAGTCTAATAATCAAAACAGTGAACATTTACCTAATTATTCTGGTCAGATACCATGCTTCTCATTTAGTCCTCATGACAGCGCTGCCAAGTAGGTAGTATCGTCTCTATTTTAGAATGAAGAAATTGAGACTCAGGGTGGCCAAATCACTTGCCCAAGGACAGTAAGTGACTGTAACAGACTGTTGCTTTGGTGGCCCCCAATGAGCATGCCTCCCAGTATTCCTGCCCATAGGTGGCCCCCTCCCACATTGACTCAGAGCTTGGCCATGCGACTTGCTTTGGCCAATGGGACATTAGCAAGCCTGCTGCAGGCAGAGGTTTGATAAGCAGTTGTACCTTAGGGCTTATCCTCTCGGAATATTTCCTCTTGGGATCCAGCTGCTATGTAAAAAAATTTGAGCTAAAATACTGAATGATTAGATGCCCCGCGTAGACAGACCCTGGAGGATGAAGGGCCATTCTTGATATACCTTTCCAGCCAGTCTCTCACCAGAACGCAGCTCACAGGTGCCAAGTGAGCCCACAGCCAGTCATGGCCAACCCACAGAACATAAGCAATAATAAATCATTGTTGTTTAAGCCCCTAAATTCTAGGGTGGTTAGTTATATACCAATGAATAACTGAAACAGTGACAAGCTAGGATCTGAACCCAGTACTACCTGATTGACTTCAAAACCCATGGCCCATAGTAGCACTCAGTAAATATTTGTTAAATGAATGAATGAATGAAGGGTGTGGTGGGCTACTAGAGAGGTAAGAAAGTCCAGGGAATTCAAAGGCAGGATGACAATTACCTTTCGACAACCATCATCCCCTTATAGCTACAAATATTCCAAAAACGAAAACAAGCTAGGCATCCCTAAATCTAGAAACAAGTCTGTGGATGTCACCAAACCCCCTCTCTCTGTCTCTCTCTCTCAAATTCAGGTCAGGCAAAATTGAGAAGTTAGCAGAGTTTGGTTTTTGATGGTCATTCCCCCTGCCCCCAACTCTCCACCATGCCCCTGGCATCTCCTCTCCCACCCACTCGGCCTTCTGGGCCCAAGAACTCTTTCTCCCTCTTTCCATATAAAATCCACATGCAGGAAAGGAGCAGAGAAGGTGGTAATTACAGAAATGGGGGAGGAAGATTTGAATTTTAATAGATGGCTTTACAGGCCAAAGAAATGAAGCTCTAAGCTCAGTGCTTTCAGGAGCCATCTGCCAGCAGGTGTAGGAGATATTCTAAGGATGAGGAGACACCTGGAAGTGTCCCTGAAGCTGGGGAATAAAGGAATGCCCCATGACTCTCAATATCCCTCTGAATCCCCCAGGAAGGGGATCTGGCTTGCCACACCTGGGGCTATAGGCCAAACATGTGTACCTCCCAGAGTAGTCACTCCAGCCTGGTGAAGACCTACAGGGGTCAGAGTGTCCAGTCCTCTGCTTCCTGGCAGCCCTGACACTGCCTTTTCTGTTCTAAGCTCTCCCTTACTCTCGGGCGCCTGCAAACATGCACACACCTCCCAAGGTCACACACCCCACTCCAGCACCTGGATCCCACACCCACAAAACCATCTGGGCCCCTCACTGCAGACTGGACCTAAGGAGAGAACAGGCCCCACTCCTACTCACAGGCAAACCATAGCAAGTGCACACAGGCACCGTTTCACACACTCACATGCAAAGCAATGCAGTGGGGCGCACACAGTCACCGGCGAGGCACTGAGATATGGAGACAGAAACATGCATGCACACATATGCACACCTCCAGACCATCTACACTATCACACGTGCACACTGGCACGCACACAGACACCCAAACCCTCCCACCCACAGACACCCACACAGGTGCCCAGCCAGGCCTCAACACCAAGCCCCTCCCCCACCCCATTTCAGAAGCAGGTGGAGAGGGCTGGGGTTTGAGGGCGCTCCCCCTTCTCCCTCCTCTTGGTCTCTGCTCTCCAAGGTCCAGAGTCCCACTGGGGTCTGGAGCCCACCCCTTCACCCCCGCTGGCTCGGGGAGTGACTGGTGAGAGGGGGGATGGGAAGCCTGGTCTCAAACCGTTCTGATTTTGATTCCTTAAATTAACCCCTTCCTTGCCTCTGGCCTGGCCTTGCCCAGAATCCCTCCCGGTCGGGCAGCCTCGCGGGCCTCCAGGGAGCTGAGGGGGAGAAGGAAGAGGAGGAGGAGGCAGCGGCTGGGGTCCTCCCCGCCTTCTCTCTCCAGGAGCGGTCCCCTAGCGCGCCCGCGACTCGCCCTTACCTCCTCCACCCCGCGGCGAGGCCAGGCCCCGCGGCCCTCGGCTGGGGGTGCAGAGGCAGCCCCCGCGTGCCCGGTCCAGATGCAGGGCCGCCTCGGGGCCTCGGATCTCGTTCCCCTCCGCAGCCTTGGGTGGCCGCCGCGGCTGGCGCCCCCCCCCCCCCCTCGCGGGGGGCGGCCGAGCTTCCCAGCCAGTCGCAGCGGGAGGGGCCCACAAACTGGGTGGGGGAAGGATGGAGGAGGAGGAGGGAGGAGGGGGCGCGCGGCCGGAGGAAAGGAAGGGAAGGGGGAGGGAGGCAGCAAGGAGGTGGGGCGGAGCCGGCCCCTCCTCCGGGGCGGGCTCTCCTGCGAGCTGGGGAGCGGCAGATGCCGCCAGAAGCGGCTGCGCCGGGACCCCACGCTTTCCGCTGAAGGTGGCTTCGATGGGGGAGGGGTCCGCAGCGCCGCCCTCGGGGTGCAGGGACCGCTCGGGCCGCGTTCCTCCTAGTCCCTGTCTTCCCGGCTTCTGGCACCGCCTAGTGCACTCTCTCTGCCCCGGGCACCTCCGGTTGTGGCCTCTGTTGCCCACCTTTAATCCGAACCACTCCCTCCTAACCCTTCCCTACCACTCGGGCTTGGGCCTGCTCCCACACGAGGCTAATCCTGGGGTGGGCGGTTCTGTGGGTCAGGAAGAGGGCAGGCAAGCTGCACTACTCGTGGGATATGCGCCACGGTCCCTAAGCGGCCTCGTGGGCTGCGCCCCTTGGCACTCGGTGACCTCAGGTCGGATGCGTGGTCTCCTTGGAGACTGCTTCAGTCAGTCCCCTTTGGGCATCCCTAGGGAACCAGGGGAGCTGGGAGTGGCTGCAGCCAGGCTCTGTGATGTACTGGGACCCAATCTTGTCCTTGAGGGTGCCATCCAGAAGCACGTGTCCCTGTCACAAATCCCCATCCCGGACCTAGAGGAGGAAAGGGGCAGTGGCCTCTGGCCCTTTCCACCCTCTCCCCCACCTTGAACTTGCTTAGGAGAGAAGCCCAGCTCCTCAGGATTTGAGCAAGGGAGGGGGGAGGCGCGGGGTGGGGGTGGAGCAGGGTTTAAAGCCTATCCAGCTGTTGAAGCAGGAACAGTCTGGCTGTCCTAGATGTAGAGGAAGTCCACAGGGCTGCAACTGGGCCTGAGAAATCAGACCGTGTTGCCTCCCAAGCCTGGGGCTGAGCTGGTTTGGGATTAGGTAAAGGGGAGATGGAATTTCAGGCAAGGGGTAGTACTTGGGCAAAGGCACAGAGATGGGCTTGGGCAGGCTTAAGCACCAAGGCCATGAGGGGCAGTCTGGCTGCAGCAGAGTAGAAATACAGGGTAGCCCCAGGGTTCTCCAAAAAATGAGGCTGAGGGGGACATTCCTTGACCCCATCCTACTCCTGCTAGGGCAGAGGTACTGGGCATTTAGTATCAGGAAGGATAATATGTAGATTTGTCAGGTGGCTTTTGGGGAGAGGCAAATTTAATAAGAACTAATACTGAACAGTGGACAGTCAGGTCAAACTGCCTCCTCCCCACATCTTCTCTTCCTTCCCCTAGCTCCTAAATTTCTTTCCTCCTCCAGAAAGTCTTCTTAGATTGAGCAAATGATAAATCACTTCTCCTAAGATGTAAATGATAACAGCTCCTATTAACCAAGTACCAAGCATCATACAAATAATTTTTATGCATATCATTCAATCATCACAATAAACCTATTGAGTTATTATTATCCCCACTTTACAGATAGGGAAACTAAAGTTCAGAGCTCAACAAATGGCATAGTCAGGATTTGAACTCAAGTCCCTGAACTCCAAAGTCTGTGCCTAAACACGGTGCCCTCCTGCCACCCCTTTGCTGTGTTAAAGCCCACTGAGCCTCTTCTGCCAAAATGCAGATTCCCTAAATCCACCTGCTTTTGCAGACAGCCAAAAATATCCATATGTTGTCTTGGTTCTACCTTTGTTGTAGCGATCTTTATTTGTCGTCACTCTTTGCTTCCTGTGAATATTCTAAAACGATTTGGGGCATGCTTGTGTATGTACAGGTGTGCTTCTGTGCATGTGTATATGCATGCATGTGCCTACAGGTGTATAATCTGCATATGCATGTGTGCATGTGTGTGTTTGTGAGTGAATGCATGTGTGTATATGTGGATGTGCACGTGTGCATGTATGAGTGTGTGCATGTGTGAGTGAATATGTGTGTATCAGGGTGTGCATGTATTTGTGTGCACATGTGCATATATGTATGTGTGTACGCATGTGTGCCCATGCTACATTTCACAGACAACACTTCCTGCTTGGTTGTTATGGGAACCACAGTTCTAAAAATGTTAAACTGAATCCCACTCCATGTGGGCCAGAGAAACCAAAAGAGAGAATGTTAAGTGACAGATACATCTGGGTGCCCAGAGCTGAGGCAGACAATCATGGGCTCAGCGAGAATTGGACAGGCACAGACCAGCCAGAAGCATGGTCCCATGGCTTGGATCAGGGCCTCAGGCCTGTGTCTTCTCATCTCTCCCTCCTGACCCTTTCCCAGCTTCATGTTCTCCAACTACCTTCCTTCCTTCCTCTTCCCCTTCTCTTTTCTTTTCTCCTTTTAGGCCTTTAGGCCTTTTCTTAGGCCAACACAATAATTAAACAGTTCAGTGTGCTGGGCAGTAGGGTTGGTGATATGGCGCCACACATGTGGATCAGATAAGGCCTCTGCCCTTAGGGGAGTTCAAGGGAGGGAGGATTTGGATAATACATGGGGAGAGGGGAGAGGACAGAGCAAAGGGAGAGATGACAGAGGAGAGTGGAAGATGAATTTGGATCACAGATGGAGGGCTTTAACTGCAATGTACTTTTTGTAGGAAGGTGGAAGCTATGGTCAGTTTGGGGTAAAACACTGCGAAGAACATTTTAGGGAAATTCCATCAGTAGTGCTGTGCAATATATGGAATGGAAGGAGAGAGAATGGAGGTAAAGGGGCCATGGGGAGTGGTTTGGTAGAGTGCAGGCTTGTCTCAAACAGGGCACAGGGCTTAGAGTGTAGGGGGAGGAAAGGGCAGACTTTCTGGGTTGCTTTGTCAAACTCTCACCTATATCCCACCTCATCAAGATTTTTATTCCTCTTCCCTGCCTCTCCAGGGTGAGAATCAGGACTTGAGTGAGCCTTTGTTACTGATAGACATGTTGAATTCCTCAGGTGCACTGGAAAGGTAAAAGGTTGGGAACTACCGGCCCAACATATGGCAGGCACTCAGTAATACTTGTGCAATGAGTGGCTATATGAATATGCACTGGTCTTGGAACTGGAAGCCCAGGTTCAAGTCCCACTTCAGTCCCTCATCATCTGTGTGCCCTTAAGAAAATCCCCAAACCTCCTGGGCCAGTTTCCTCCTCTATACAGTGAGGGGTCAGACAAGATGTTCTTATAAGCTCCTTCCAACTACATGTTATGATGTGATTCTACGTGATTGTCATAGCCATGGTGTGCATGTCTGTGGAGGGGGTTGGCATGGACTGAGGTGCTGGAAATAGGCACAGAGAGGATAAATGTGAGAAATATTTAATAGAGGAATCAACATCTTCTGGCTTCAGTTTTCAGCAATATTGTTGAATAGACAAACCAAAGACCCTCTTGCTACAGAATACATGGAATGATTCACAAAATATAACAGACACCTGAAATGCTTAGCTGAGCTTGCAAGAAAGGAAAGAAAAACTACATGGACTAAAATAAGGGAACTGAGACCAAGAGATGTAAGCATGAGACGCGCTGTGACTAACCCCAGCGGCTATGGGGAGGGAGGCATATGGCTTGACTGTGCTGACCCAGGCCCTGGTTGGAGTAGGAGGAGCTGCCTCTGAGAATTTATAACTACTTGAGTTAGAGTTTGATCTCACAACATCTGCGTGGTACAGGAACCCCAGGCCAAGAAATTAACATAAAGATAGGTCTCCATCAGTGGATACTCCTGGAATGCCTGGCAGAAGCAAACACAAAACTGCTCAAGATAAACATACCCTCAACCCAGGCCACAGAGTATTACTGCCCAGGTAAATCCCCACTGAAGATAAGCTCACAAGCCAAAAATTACAATACATAAAAAGAAACAGTGTGCCATGAATAACAATAGTTAAGACCTTGAAGAACTTCAATAAGATCCAGCAGGTCTGGGGCCGGCCCTGTGGCTGAGTGGTTGTTTGTGTGCTCCGCATTGGCGGCCCAGGGTTTTGCCGATTTGGATCCTGGGTGGGAATATGGCACCACTCATTAGGCCATGTTGGGGCAGCATCCCACATGCCACAACTAGAAGGACCCACAACTAAAAAATATATACAACTATGTACTGGGGGGATTTGGGGAGAAAAAAGCATTTAAAAAAACCCAAAAAGATTGGCAACAGTTGTTAGCTCAGGTGCCAATCTTTAAAAAAGAAAAAGATCCAAAGGTCTGAATGACAGCCTGGATGTGGGGGAAGGAGGGGTCAAAGGTGAATCCCACAGAACTGTGATTATTTAGGCAAGTCTAGGGAACCAAACAAATGATGGCTGCTGTTAGCAGAAATTGGGTATACGGAAGGGGGATTTGATGTTAGGCAGCTTGTTTTCAAAGTGGTGGTGGGATAACCGTAAGGAGATGTTCATTAGTCAGAACCATGGGGCTGCAGCTAGGGTAGAGACCAGGGCCGGCTGACTTAGAAGCCACCCGTGTAGCAGTGATAGCTGAATGCCTGGGAATGAATGTGCTCTCAAAGGAGAGTGCTGAAATAGAGAAGGAGGGAGAGCTCAGAACTAAGTCTGGGAAGACACCCACATTTTGAGGACAAGATGAAACAGAGGAGCAAGTAAGGAAAATGAGCTCTCTGCTAAGCCCTGATTAGGTTTGGGTCCTGGGTTTGGGTTGATTTTCTGATGGTTTGATTTTAATTCTTTCCATCTCTGGTCTAACATTCTCTTCCCTCAGAATCCCTAAGGCAAGCTGCAGTAAATGGAGCAGTTTCCCTTTGGACTAATAGGAGGGACTTCCCAGCTGGGAGTTCCAGAACTGGGCTGGGCTCTGGTGCCAGCACCACTATTAAGTCACTTCTTTGGGGTTCAGTTTTCTCATCAGTGATATTAGGCTTTGGTGGGCATGAGGACAAGATGGGGCACGATAGAGCCAGTAGCACTTGATGGAATGCTGGTGAAGGGGGCAAGGAGAGGTGGTGGTTCGATGCCACCCACCCACAGCTGGTCAGCCTTCTTCCTTTGTTCAGGTTGTGTGGTTTGGGACCAGTTGCTTGAAATCTGGTCCTTAATGCTCTTCATTACCCAACTCTGTGTGGAAAGTGAAGTCAGGTGGTCCACGCATGTAAGCGAAAGGTGTGATTGCTTAATAGTAAGATAATGAGAGTCATCATTGTCTTATGTCTCCTTGAATCTACCTCTTCCCTATCAGAGTGCCTGACAGTCCATCACTTGAGCCTCTCTGCAGGGTTAAACACTGCCCTCTGCTGGCTACTCTTTAAAAATGTTAACTCTCCTAGAAGAGGTAATACGAAGCCTTTACCACAAATTAGCTTATTAGGGTACAAGATACTCAGCCAGCAGGATAGCACTTAATACCTGGGGAGAGAAATGGGTGGAATTCTTTGACTTGACAGTTTTGTCTTTGGTCAATGAGACTGCAGGGGTGGAGGATGAGC